TAATTTTTGAAAATTATTGGCCAAAAGTCTTCCATTACAGGATGATATTCGACTGAATAAACTGGGACGACTTCGCCATTAAGAATTATGTTAGAATTTTCTGCTTTCTTTAATGTCATTAATGGTTTGTTCGGATTCATTTGGTTAAATATTTTTTGGAATTCATTTGCCTTCGCTTCAAAAATTTCATAATTTTCCAAATAACTTCGAATTGAAATTTCCTGGCTAAATTTTATTAAAATAAATTTGGGTATTCAAAAAATATTTTAGATTTAAATTTAAGATGGTCGACTTTAGATGCCCATGTTTGGGTTGATTTGATTTAATTATTAAAATAAATTAAAGAGTTTGCAAAAGTTTAGCCACCGGGCAGGCCCGCGACCACCTGCTAGTTGTTGCTAGGCGCTTTCGCTCACCATATACAGGAGTAGAGTCAAGCGGTATCGGGATTTAGAGAAAAACCCGGGATCGGAATTTTGGAATGGAGATCCCAATCCCGGCTCGGGATTGAGATTGGCCGGGACCGGGATTGGTATATTTCGGGAGCGGGATCAGAAAAATCGGGATCGGGATTCGAAAAACCCGGGATTATCCCGCCCGATCCCGACCGGGATCCCGATCCCGCTCAACCATCTAGAGGAGCTCTACCTCTGAGCTACCGGGGCATTGACTAATGCTTTCTCTTTTTCCTTTTTAGCTCGTTTAACCCCCGCCTAAGCGTTTTAAATGCTGTTAGGTGAATCATCCTTACAATAATTTTTATTAAAAACATACTATTCTTCAGTATCAATTGCTCGTTTATTCAATTCTTCATTATAATGCTTGTTTTCATTATGAAATTTAACAAAATTTCTAATAAGCACTCGAACAAAAAGGAATAAATTCCAAAAAACATAAAGATTTTTCTCTATTTGATAAATATTGAATGAGAGATCGAACATTTTACTAAAATACTTTTAAATAAAATTTTCAAAATATATTTTTTTTTAATTTTTGGAAATAAAGTAAAGCAGCTGGCGAACCAGCATCTTCATTAGACCGGACTGATGTGTTAGCCATTACACCACGCCGCCTACTGCTCACTCAGCCTTAGGAAATTAATAGCTACATATATGCTTTACAATATAGAAGGTTAGATTTAAATTATAGACATAACTGAGTTAACTATAATTAAATTTTTAATTTCGAAAATTCAAAAATTAACCCATTTTGTCGCAGTGAATACTCAATTCTTTCATTGTTATAAGCATATGCTTTCAAATTTTCTTTGTTATCTTTTAGCTCATTAAAGGTCACATTCTCGGGCAAAGGCATAATTCCATATTTATTTAAAAATGTTGCATAATCTTCTAAAGGCATTGTTGAACGGATTACATTGAATTTATTTAAAATTAATTGTTCATTTTCTTCTACCGTTTTACTGTGTTCTTTTGTATAAATATCCAAATGATGGTTGATAAACTTTTATGGAAATAAAAAATTTAAATTAGAGTTTAAAAAATTCAGACAGCTACCAAAACTTTTTTCCTTAACCTTGCGAGAAACGAAAAAAATTTTTTTTCGATTTTTTGTCAACAGCGAATTCCAGATACACAACCCGAATATATACCCCTAACGTTTCTTATACCCCTAAGAATACTCGACAATTATTTTCTCGAACATCTTCTCGATTTACATGTGTACCTCTCTCGATTAATTACCGCCTCTAACGAGAATTTGAAAAAAATAATAACTCCCCTGACCCCCTCTAACCCCCTCTAACATAAACTCTAACATAAAACTCCCCTGACCCCCTCTAACATAAAGCAAGAAAATAAGGACAGTTTCTTATCATTTATGCTCGTTTTATCATACATAAAATTTTTCTTATCCCAAATATTTTAATAAATTATTTAATAAATTTACATCATCAAGATTTTTAGAAAAATGCACAAAATGTCCATCAAATTCTTCAGAAGTTCCCTTCAAAAGATTTTTAATTTGCAGTTCGATAAACTTGCTCAACTCCTCAAAATCTTTTAAATCTTCAAAAGAAACAGTTTTTGAAACTCGAATCAAAACAGATAATTCCGTCAGAGAAAATTTAAAAGTGTCTTCAGGTTCATCTTCAGAATCAAACTCTGCAGGGTCGAACATCTCTTCAGGAGAACTCTCCCCAGGAGAACTCTTTGAAGGAGGATCATAATATTCAGGCATTTTACCTTTTCCTTAATTTTATTGTTTTTATTACACTTTATCATTATAATTTTTAATTTCGTTAACAAATATGTATAAAATTGGAACTCAAACTTAGCTATAAAATAAGCAAAAACCGAGTCAAAATCAGACTTGCACACGGATACTGATCTTGGTATCCGTATCCGGATATTTACAGCGGATACGGGCGGATACAGACGGATATCCGCAGGCATTTTGATATTATTTGTATCCATATCCGTATCCGTGTGCAAGTCTGGTCAAAATCAGGATCGTAAAAGGATCCTAAAACCTCGGCTTAATCCGCTAAGCTTCCATACACACATCGACTGGTGCGGATTTTTTGTTTATTAGATGCCGTTGCCATATACTTACTCATGTCTTTTTTCTTGCTAATTAAGCGACACAGGGATACCCGATAATAACTAATTGTGTTCAACCGCTAGTTATGAATATATGATATTTTATAATTTTTAAAAATAAATTTATACCTTTATCCGCCCCGTAAATATGATGAAAAAAATAAGAACAAATAAAAAAGAAAATAAATATAGAAATATTCATTTTTAATTTTTATTTAAAAAAATATTTTTAAAGCTTTTCTTTAAATATTTTTCACCTCTTTTTAAGCTTTATTTATAAAACTAAGTTGTATTAAAAATTAATTTAAAATAAATATTTAAGAAAAAAAAATTTAAAATAATTAAAAATAAGCTTAGAATGAGGTTAATAAAGAGATAGGCAAAAGGGAGGAGCGCTCTAAGTACATAAATTTGCAAGTAAAACATTGGGCGAGGGCAGATGATAATTTTTAATGTAAGCCGACCTTTCTTTTCATCTGTCAATCAATTAGGGATAGGGAGTGGGTAGATGGATGTGATCAGCGATAATCGAAATTTCGATTTGTTGCCCATCCGGTAATCCCGTTTGTCGCTGAAAACTTTTTATGGGAAGTGATCCTGCAAAATCCAGTACGCAGTACCGTTCCGTGCCAATACTTGATGACTATAACTTTTTAGACCCTTCTATCCATTTTAGTCCACGAGATTTGATCGTCTAAGTTATGTCCAAATGGAAGGATTGTTAATACGAGTACTTTGCAACTCGTATAAATTTATTATTTGTAATCGTATCGGTAATATATGAGATTCCATTAATTTAATTTGACATTATATCAGCTGAACTAGCGGATTTTCCCTGCAATCGGCAAGCTAGATTTTCAAAATTAGGACGTTTGTATGATAAACTTTCATGGGCATTATGTTGGGTTTTTTCATTAATTTAATTTGACATCCCCTATCTCAATCAATTAGGGATAGGGAGCAGACCTGGCCGGAATACAAATTCGAAATTTCGATTAGCTCTGATAGGGGGGGGATGATGGGCGAGAATTGACGTCAATAGAGTTTAAATCGACTGATTCTAAATAAATAAACATTTAATAGACTTTTATTAAATAATAAAATAAAATAATTTAATTAAAATTATTTATGTTAAAGCAATTATCGTATATTCTTAAATAATTACACTGGGTAATTACTGCTTCAACCTCTCAATAAAGGTGATATATAATTAATATAGAGGGCTATTTACAAAGTCTAATCATAACTTTTAAGGGGGTAATTATTGGTTCAACCACTGGCTAGTATGTTATCAAGAGATTTTTTTATCTAAATATCTTCTTTTACTAGACCAATTTAAAGATGTTAAAAAATAAATACCCAAATCTTTATCCAACATCAAAATCTTTAAAATCAAAATTTGTTTTCGTTCAATGGAATTTAAAAAAACTATATGTACTAAAATTTAAAAAAATAATAAATAATCAAATGTATATTTCTTCAATCCTCGTTTTTTTAGTTTAAAGAAATAAACCTGAAATCCATAAAGGGAAAGTAAGTTTGTTAACAACCAAAACAAAATATTGTGTTAAAACAAGTCAGTATTAGAGACCGGATTTAGTAGCTACAGGAACCTTTATCACAATAACCGAGATTTTTAATAGATCGCCTCAGTCTGGTTGCTAATAAACATATTAGATTTTATTTATCTATGCTGTAACTGATAGAAAAATTAAATAACTTGGACTGCTTAAAGATGTTTTCAACTTTTGTTATCCGGATTTAAAATACCTAACTTTACAATGGTCTGGCACGTTTGTTGTCAAAGTCATAAAATTAAATGAAAATTTTCATTTATAATCGGCTTTCTTAAGATTTTTAAAATTTACTGACTTATTTTAACACTCAATATTTTGTAGAAAATAAATGAAAAGTGTGAAAAAACTCTTTCCAAATCTTTTCATGGACGTCCTCCTCCATTGCGTCCTCGATTTTTAGGTGTTCCACGATTTTGTCCACATTGACTCCCAGTCCGTTGTCCTCTCTGTAGATCAATTTGATGTCCGGTATCTTCAGATCCTCCTTGATGTTCACATCCTCCTAGATGATCATATTCTCCTAGATGCTCATATCCTCCTTGAGAGAGATGTTTATATCCATGTTGAGAGACATATTGATATTCATGTTGATGAGCTTGTAATTGTTCAAATCGAGGAATGCATATTTCACAGACCTATAGCAATAAATATTTTTTGTAAAAATTTTTTAATTATAAAATTTAAGCTCAACTATTATGCTAAAATTTTAAATATAAAAGAATTCAGTAAGCTATTAACTCATTTATAGATCTATTACGGCGAAAATTCGGTATTTCGCATTTTAGGCCAGTTTAGGTTTGATGAGCATGTTTTATCTATTATATTATTTAACAATTGGAAATAAAGTTCGATTTTAAAATTTATTTTAATAAAAATAACTGCCCGTCAATTTGAAGAGTTTGAACTCTACTATTAGAACAAAAACTAGTTCATTTTTATTTAAAAAAATGGCTTTAAAACTAAAAAAATATATTACTTGTCTAGTAAGATCTTCATGCAAATGCGGAGGAAGTTGACCATGATTAGGTATCTGAATAGAACTTAATTCAACAATATTTTCCTCGAGATATTCTAGATTTCTACTCATCATAATTTCTCCTGCTAATTTATTCAAAATTAAATGATCCAACATATTTTTGGATAAATCATCCAAATGATAGAAAAACAAATAAAATGAAATTAATGGCTTTTGAGTTAAAGGATTAAGCGCATGCATGCATAGATTATAACATTCTTGTCCAGTCCAAAGAGTAGTGTCAGCTTAAATATTTTTAAAAAAATTTTAAAGAATATATTCACTACTAGAGTACGTCGCGTACCGAGTAATTGGAAAAAAATCGAGCTTGAGTATGTCGAGTTTGAAAAACCCGCGTTCGAGTCCAATATTATAATAATATTTTATGATATTTTCATTCCCAAATTGGGTATAATTAAATTAACCTTTAACATTTTTGTAAATTAATGGCCAATAGACTTTCATTTTAGGATGAACTTCAATCGACTCATTAGGAATGATTTTACTATAATTTAATATGCCAGGTGTTAATTCTCTATATTTATGATTTATTGGACTGTAAAGACTCATTTGGTTAAATATTTGTTGAAATTCATTTGCTTTTACTTCAAAAATATCATAATCTTCCATGTAACTTCGAATTGAAATCTCTTCGCTAAATTTTATTAAAATAACCACTGGCGGGACAATTGTACCGTTTTGTACAATTGTGTCCTCAAAAAAGCCGGCAAAAATTCTGTAGGGATACCCGACAAGTACCGTACCTCAAAAAATATTATTCGTGGTGACAGTAAACGATGGCCCCGTGTAAATATTTATTATATTAAAAACATACTAGTGTGAAGTTTCAATTCCTCGTTTATCTAATTCAATATTATAATGTTTGTTCACATTATGAAATTTAGCAAAATCTCTAATAAGCATGCGAACAAAAAGAAAAAGATTTTGAAAAATGAAAATATCTTTTGTTTGTGGGATTCCAATGTATCCTTCATGTTTATTCGTAAGGTAGATAATAAACTTTTTAATAATAAAAATATTAAAATTATGGTTTAAAAACGCATTCAAAGATAATTAGGCTAGCTTTTTAAATATTTTATTAAATACCGTATTTGGTACTTTTCCGATATGCCACACCAGGGGTGTGCGAGTTTCGCGTTTCGCCTTTCGCGGATTTTCGCGTTTTTTGGACTTTCGCATTTCGCGTGTCGCTTTTTTAAATTTACTTTCGCATTTCGCGTTTCGCGTTTCACTTTTTAAATTTAATTTCGCCTTTCGCGTTTCGCTTTTTAAAATCCGTTTCGGCACACCCCTGTGCCACACCCCCCTAAATTAATGCTCAAAATGTCAAATCTAGGGTAAAAAAAGGTGCTGAGTCTAACAATACAACTCTTTTTCCCAGGATATGCATTTGGACCGAAATATAGGACTCGAAATGGTCAAAACCACAGCGGGAGTAAGCTCATTTTTGTGGTAAATAATTCGAAAATGCAAATAATACCTCATTCGAAAGAGCTCATGGAGCTGAGTCGAAAGACACCAAAATTAACAAAATCTGATTTGATTTGACCGAGATACAGGTCCCTGAAAATTGAAGAACCACACACATTTTGTATCGTAACTTGGTCCAAACTTGTTAGACCGCGGTGATTTTGGTGTTATACGAAAAAGCGAGCTCTTTCGAATGAGTTATTATATGCATATCGAATTTTTTATCCGAAAATTATGGTTTTTGACCAATGGTTTTTGACCATTTCAAGCCCAATATTTTGGAATACTGATAGAAAACTTATCAGTATTCAAGATTTACAATAATTCAGATGAAGGTGTTTAATATTATTTGATAAATTAATAAATTTACCTCATCAAGTTTCGTAAAAAAATTGTCCCCAAAATCCTTATTAAATCTTTCATAAATTCCCACCAAAACAATTTTAGTTTTATATTTCATAAAACAAGATAAATCGTTTAAGCCATTCAAATCCTCGATCGAAATTGATATTAAAATTCTAATCAAAACAGATAATTCTGTCAAAGAAAAATTGCCAGTCATTTCACCTCCACTTTGATATCCTTGATTTCTGGCATATGCATGTTCTTGTAGACTTGCTTGTTCTTTAATTCGAGATTTGCATGATTTATAAGCCTATTACGGAAAATAAATAATGTATTTTAGAAATAATTTTTTAAATTTTAAAATTAAAATTCAACGATTACACTAAAATAATCAAATCTGGCCCTATCCCAAAAGAAAGGCGAAATCGTTTTTTAACATTACCTGAAAGGAAAGGAAAAATGAAAAGGAAAAATGGGAAAAAATGGAAAGAAAAAATAAGACGGATGGACACGGACAAACAAAACACGGACGGGCTAAACACGGACGGACTCGGGTCAGACCAAATACGGACGTTTATACGAGTCTACAAGTCCGTCCGTGCCTTGTCTCACAATTACCCCCCCCCCCCCCGTTTCCTCTGACCCGAGTCCGTCCGTGTTTTTTGTCCAAGTCCGTTCGTCTCCATTTTTCTTTACATTTTTCTCCATTTTTCCTTTCCATTTTTCCTTTACTTTCAGGTAATGAAAAAACGATTCCGCCCTTCTTTTGGGATAGGGTCTCAAATCTCATATTCTATTATTTGATTAAAGTATTGTCAATTATTGAAAAAATAGCTTTATATGTAATATAAAATCACTTCTTTAATAAGCCTTCCATGAAAATGAGGAGGAACTTGATCAGGAACTTGATTAGCTTTCGGAATAGAAATTAATTCAACTATATTTTCATTGAGATATAGTTCCTTTCTATTAACTATAATTTTTTTAGCCAATTTATTCAAAATTAAATGATCCAACATATTTTTGGAAAAATTATCCAACTGATGGAAAAACAAATAAAATGAAATTGTTGGCTTTTGAGTTTCAGGATCAAGCGTATCTTGGTATAAATTATAACATTTTTCTCCAGTCCAATGAGGAATATCATCTTAAATAATAAAAAAATTTTTGTTACAAAATATTTTTTATAACAAAATTTTTTAAGTATTATTATAATTTTTTACCATTTTTTATTTTTCAATAATTTTATTTTACTTATTTAGTACCACCCGGCCATTTATTTTACCCAGACGGTCAACTGAAGAGTTAACTCCAATATTGTAACGATTTTTTCATTTCTTACAAAATATTCTGATAAAAAATATTTCGTTAACCTTTTTCATTAGTAAAAATTAATGGCCAATAGTCTTCCATTACAGGATGAACTTCAATCGTCTTATTAGGAATAATTTCACAATTATATGACATGCCAAATTCATATTCTTCGTATTCTTTCTCTAATTTTTTGTCTGGATACAGATCGTTAAATATTTTTTGAAATGCATTTGCCTTCACTTCAAAAATATCATAATATTCCAAATAACTTCGAAATGAAATCTCTTCGCTAAATTTTTTTACATAAATTATGGGATTATATGGAGTCCGACCACAGCTGCTTTGAAATTTCAATTTCCGATTCTCGAAATTTTGTAATATTTTGGATTTTCAATTTACGATTTCGAAGATTTCTTTGTTCGAAACAAATCTGTGGCAGACTTGAGAAGTCTGAGGTATTTCGGATAGTCTTTTTAATACTGATCATTTTCTGATTTACTAAGTATAAAATAATTTGGCGCTGTCAAGTTTATGCGTCCAATGAATTTTTATGCGTTCAATCAAAAAAATTATTTTTTGATTGGTGTTGCACTAAAGGGGTATGGTTCCATAACATTTCTTCATATTCGGGACCATATCTTACCCTATTCCTCGAAATTTCTCAAAGTTTACATCGTTTTTCTGAAATTCTTATTAATTGGTTGTATCCTTCAACAATTTTGACAGATAGGGTAAGGAATGGTCCTAAACCCAGTGGGCGTACATAAATCCCGAACATGAAGTTATGGAAGCATGCCCCAACTTAACAACACCAAAAAAAATCCAATTTTTTTATTTGACGCATAAAAGTTCATTGATCGCAAAAACTAGACCAGAGCCAATAATTTTTATCAAAAAAATATACGAGTGATATGTATCATTTGCTCTTTTATCCAATTGTCTTTCATAATGTTCATCAGAATATCTATACAAAGTAAAATTTTTAATCAACATTCGAACAAAAAGAAATAAGTGCCAAAAAATATAAATATTTCTATCAAACATATTATTTCCTCTTGAGAAATGATCTATTAAACCTTGCAAATTTTCACTGAAATAAATTATAATATATTTTATTTAGATTTTCAAAATATTTTAAGCTCGATTTCAGTAAGTCACCGCCAGTGATGTCAAAGTTCCAGTTTTAGAACTAATTTGTTCTAGTTCCAGAACTAGAACTACGGAACTAACGTTTATCTGGAACTAGTTTGGAACTAGAACTACGGAACTAGTAAATGTCCGGAACTAGCTTGGTTTTGGAACTAGTTCTTGGGAGTATATTCTTGACAAAATTTCCTCGACGAAGTTTACGGGATTTTTAATATTGTTGTAAATTACCTGCAGCGCGCTGAAAATGAAAGAAATCTGACTGCTTAAGCTCCAAAATTCTGAAAAATTTCGCCTGCGGCGCTGAAAAAGTTGATAATTTGGCTACGATCTTAGAAATTCTCAAAATTTGGACGCATGGAAAGGAAAAAATTTTAAAAGAAAATATAAAATTTGTTATTAAAAAATATTTTTTTTTGAATTTCAAAAAATTCAAAAAGTAACCTATCCATTATTGGCAACAACGACTTAACAGGTGGTAATGCTTTCAACCAATTTTTATCATTTTTAAGTCGTTCAAAAGGATTCTGATTTTGTTGGAGTATTCCCCAATCATTTAAAAATTCTGCATATTCTTCTAAAGACATTGCAGAAGTGAGTTCCATTAATTTATTTAAAATAAAATCTATTTCAATTTCTTTATTATATTTATGCGAGTGGTTTTTGATAACCTTTTTAAAAATAAAAATATAAAAATTATAGTTTAAAAACTCAATCAACTATTTTTTAGCGAGCTTTTTAAACAATTAAATATTATATGTACATATAATCGGATCTCATAATAATATGCGCTATGCCCATTTTGATATTTCTTCTGTTCGTATTCCCACAACTTTTTTCTGACCATTTCTTCATTTTTCCTTCCCTTTCTCCCTATTTTTCACGAAGCAGGTATCAAAAAGGATTTATGAGAAATATTTCTAATTTTTAAAGGATAAAAAAGAAACATGAATCGTTTTCGCGACAAAAATTAAGGAAAATATTTCGGTACGTAAATATGTGTTGGTATTGTTATCTGCATGTTTTACCATGAATTCCAAGCTCTTAGAGCCTGGACCTCAAGAAAAATAATGGAGAAAGGGAAGGAAATGAAAAAATGGTCAGAAAAAAAGAGGGGGAATACGAACCTAATAATTGCCCTTATTTCATCATCATCATGTTGGCGTAAATATGTGTTGGTATTGTTATCTGCATGTTTTACCATGAATTCCAAGCTCTTAGAGCCTGGACCTCAAGAAAGGAAATGAAAAAAATGGTCAGAAAAAAGAGGGGGAATACGAACCTAAGAATTGCCCTTATTTCATCATCATCATGTTGGTCATACATACTCGGATTTTTTTGTTGGTCATACATACTCGGTCATACATACTCGGATTTTTACCGGTTTTATTT